TCACCTCACCTAGAAGAATGAAAATCATTACCATTTATGGCAAAGGGGGCGTGCCTTGGAAGCCAACAAACACCCCCCATGATTACATTGGGAAGACGCGAAAGCCTTCAAATCATTGACACAAAACCCAAGGCTGTCCCTTTAGAGCCCATTACTTTAGAACCTATATCACTTCGGCCACCACAGCTTAACGTTGCAATAGCTCTCCACAGAGTTGTCAACCTATATCATTTTGGCCACCGCAGCTTAGCATTGCAACAGCTCTCTACAGAGTTGTCAACCTATATCGCTTCGGCCACCACAGCTTAGTGTTGCAACAGCTCTCCACAGAGTTACCAACCTATATCATTTTGGCCACCGCAGCTTAGCGTTACAATAGCTCTCGACAGAGTTGCCAACCTATATCGCTTCGACCATCACAGCTTGACATTGTAATATCTCTCCACAGAGTTGCCTACCTACATCACTTCGGCCAAAGCAAAATCTGATGTTACCACAGCTATTGCTTGAGTTGCCAACTTCTATCACTTCGACCGTAACTGCTTCGCATTGCAACAGCTCTCCACAGAGTTGTCAACCTACATCACTTTAGCCAAAGTAAAATCTGATGTTGCCGCAGCTCTTGGTTGAGTTGCCAACTTCCATCACTTCGGCCGCAACTGCTTCACATTGCAACAGCTCCAGAGTTGCCAACCTACATCACTTCGGCCAAAGCAAAATCTGATGTTGCCGCAGCTCTTGCTTGAGTTGCCAAATTCCATCACTTCGGCCACAACTGCTTCGCATTACAACAGCTTCAGAGTTGCCGCCCACATCACTTCGGCTAGAATAGAGTCTGGTGTTGCCACCACCTCCTCGAGTTTCCAGTCCGTATCACTTCGGCTATTCGCCTCTGGCGCTCGTCCCCATACCTACCAACTCGACACTGAAATTAAGTCCTTGTACTATATAAATATCCATACATTAACTTGCGGGACTATTGTTACGGGCCTGAGTCAGACCCGCCACCTCACCCTCCGCGAGTCATCAGAGGTGGCCCACACCATACCACATGGCGGACGAGGTGATTACTCATGGGACGAGGCGGTTGGATATGCCGAAGTGATCCCACAAAATCGAACTGAATAGGCGTCAACAAACGAACCGGACTTATCCGCACATATACCGCGGATGCAATGGCCCGCACTCCACTTCCATAACGCTGCAACGCCCCTCCTGCCTTATCTCGCCCCTTCAAAGATCTCTTGTGCAAAGATCTTTCCTAAGTCAGATCACTGACTGATTGGACGTGCGGCAGGACCCAAACGATCAAATCAACTACTTTTGTCAGGAACATTCAATGCTAGCCAACCTATGGAGAGATGGATTAACACCTAGGATGGGACAAGCCTTGAAGATCTGGCAACGCGTGTCTCCCCATCCAACGACTCTCCTTTTCCCATCTCCGGTATAAATAATCACTCCTTATGTCTGAAGAAGGATTCGGATCCAAAACTCACCAAACTATCACTACATTGTGAAATTAAGTATTCTCTTCCCTCGATTATTATTATTTTTCGATACACTTTGTCAACCACTTCCCGGTGAGTGTTCCACCACCGGCGAACTCTTCTCCAGTTGAACTTGAAACTGACTTGACTGTCGGAGTGCTTGCAGCTGCTCCCAACCCCTCTGGAGGCCACGAGTAACTAATGACGTGCCACGTGTGCATAAAGAGCTGACTTGAAGACATTTTCTGTTGGCCATGTGTGGTGTCGGAGCCATTTTTCGAGGTCAACATATATATTTATTATTCCCAAATGGTGGTTATAACATTTTGATCTAATCAAATGCTAGATTTCGCTTAGCTTTAAAAAAAAAAAATTAGCTTTTTTGGCTACAAAAAATTTCTCATAAAAAATAAAGGCAATGTCAAATCATTACGCAATTTCACTAATTTTACCTCACAACATTAAGCTTTTGTTTTTCCCTTATTTTCTAAAAATGATTTTATATATATATATTTTTTATGGGATTAACATTTGTTTTCAATTTTTCAATCTCCACCAAATAGGAGCTAAAAGTATGATTTTTAGTTAAATCGAAATGGGGCTAAGTAACTTACTACATTTTAAGCAAGTGTTTAACAACCATTATTTTGGTAAAATAAAATTTTAAATAGTGGTTTTTATGAGAATGTGTAATTAAAAAGTGGAAAAAATTCTTGTTTAGATATAGAATATTTTATTGTGTGAATGTGTGATTGAAAATGAATACGTAGAAAAAAGAGTTTGAAAATAATGGTTGTCAAATAGGAGCTACTTTTCACTCCTCAACACCACACTTTTTTTTTCCTTATTGAATAGCTTTTAAGCGTAGCCAAACATGTGACAACCCTAAACACTTCTTAGCCTCGTTTGGCCCTTATTATTTTAAATTATAATTTTTGGAATAGTGTTTTTCAGGAAAATGTTTGGTTCAAAAAGAAGGAAAATTTTTCGATTTATGTTTAATATTATTTTATAAAAAATTGTGTGGTTGAAAATAAGAGGCATGATATTAAATTTTGTTTCTCTCTTTTATCAAATTTCAAAAACACTATAGGTATTGAATATACTGACCGAACTGATACAGGAAATTAAAAGTGAATACGTGGCAATGAAAGTTGAGTAAAAACCGGTTTTTACTCAAAGTGGAAAAAATTGGTCGAGAGAAGAAGAAAAGAACAAAACCGTCTAGGGATCACTGTTTCCCCCAAATCACTTCATTTCCTTCCCTGCCTCTCTCGTTCCTTGCCTCTCTTCCTCTAATCCGGTCACACCAACAAAAGTCCGAATTTTTCAAGAACAAAATTCCGTTATGCAGAGGGACCAAAAATCCGTCATCCACAAGATCACTTTGCTCCGGTTTTGCAGTGATTTTCGCACCCCATTTGCACCATAATCGTAGTATATTCTCCTGTAGACTCGTTCACCTCCCACCAACAGTGGTTTCTCCAACTCCTCCTCCCCAGCACATTCGGTCCATCCCGTTGTTGACAGTAGTCACCGGATTCCGTCGCCAAATCCGAAGACTTTCCAAGGTCATTGTCTGACTTAAGTGTGGCTTGTTTTCCCTTGTTAATAGTGTTCTCGCTCGTCGAAATTTAAGAAAAAAATGCTATTAAAATTTAAAGATGACTAATACTTCACTTTCGAAGAATTTTTTTTTTTATTTTTTGTCTCCTAGATCAATTTAGCATTGACCTACCAACCATGAAATTATTTTAATTAATTGTTTATATATTTTATAATTTGTTGATATTTGAATCCGGTGGTTCTACTTTTGATTTTTGCTTCATGTGATGTCGCAAATAGTCACCATCTATGTTTGACGTTTTTCAATTTAATATTAAAAGCCATTAAGAATCTTTTTTTTCTTTTTTTTCAGTCAATTGTATTATGAATAATTGTTTTGACAAAGTTTGATAATGTGATATCATATGTATAATCAGGTTGAAATTTGTGTCACTTTTACAAAACATTACTCAGTTAAAAACGCTATAGAATTGATTGAATTTAGGATTCGAACCTTTTTTTCTGTTCCAAATGAAGTTAATGAACTATCATTGTTCTTGCAGTTTTAGCATTTACTAACATGGCTAATAAAAAATCAAAAATGTCTGTGTTCATTCGCATTTGCGTTTCGTTTTGTATCATTTCTCTTTTTATGGGGAAAAACGTACTTCTTTGCTTTATGCAACGTGGGACTTCATATTTCACTAGCATTAATGTGGGTTTATTTGTGCCATCCACAGTTGTGTTCAATTAGAATGCGAGGAAGGAATTTTGGAGTTTGCTACAGTTGTAGAAGTGATACTCACTACTTCTCACAATGCAAAACAATATGTAGATGCCCTGAGTGTAAACACGGATTTCGAAAATGTTTCGAGGTCGAACGAGATACTGTAAACAAAGGGAAATTACTCTTCACATGTAGTAATGATTGCGGATATTTCGATTGGGTGAAAAAAAAAGATTTAAATGGGGAATCGAGTACCGTGAATGAAGCAGTGACTCATGATAGTCGAGGTCGGCTTTTATATGGAAAATGTGCTTTGTTGATGGAAATAGGCAGCATTGAATGAAAGGCAGGGTGATTTTGGCTTACAAGAAAAGAAAACCTTAACAAAATTAAGAGGAATAAACTAAAATAAACAATCATTGAAGGACTTGTTTTATGATTGTGTTCGAGGCATACTTTGTTAATTCTCCATATTCCAAGAGTATCTAAAGATGCAGAAATTCTTGCTTTACAGTTTGTCTGACTTGTTGGTTACGGCTTCAAGGAACCACCCGTAGCATAATTTCTTCGACCTTCACGACTACATGTGAATGTGACATATCTCATAACTTCATCGTTCGCCTTTTTCGAATTTCGTTTCTTCACAGGAAAACCTATGGCGTAAGCATATCTTTTGTAGAAATCTAACATTTCTTTTTCACTGTTAAACATCATACTCACCTCAGGCTCAGTCGCAACATCTCCTCCTACATTTTCATTCTCCAATGTGTTCAAATTCTCCATTATGTTATCGTTATCACATTCCAACAACAAATCATGATTCTCACCTCCTACAATTTCTTTTCCAGCAACAAAATTTCTATTTTTGTTAGAAGTTGCATAGTTATTATAACTAAGAGCATAACTCTGCCTATAAATAATCAACAAACTTATAAATAATCGGCTAACCTATAAATAATCATGTATATTTCATTGACTGGAATTGCAGTTTGCAACATTAAGCAGAAAGAGAACAGACTCGAGAATTGTTAGACATGCATAAGATTTGTTCATAATTTGGGAAAAACTTAATTAAGATCAAAATAAATATAGTAAATTAGTGAAAGCTACTTAACTAAAATGAAACAATGAATTAAGATTGCCTAACAACCTGTGGACTTTTTCTACTGCGCATTTTGGATAAGCATTTATATATATGAAACACAAGATCACTTAATGGAGTTCAATTTCAAACACCGATGCTAAATTTCACCTTTGTCCGAAACAAAGAAGCACTATACCTTTGTCCATCATGTTGGTGGGCTTTCCTTCCGGAAAAGACTCGTGATTGCCTGGGTCGAATGTGTTGGGGGGAGGAGCTGGAGAAACCACTGTTGGCGGGAGGTGAACGAGTCTACAGGAGAATATACTATGATTATGGTGCAAATGGGGTGCGAAAATCACTGCAAAACCGGAGGAAAGTGATCTTGTGGCTGACGGATTTTTAGTCCCTTTGCATAACGGAATTTTGTTCTTGAAAAATTCGGATTTTTGTTGGTGTGGCCATTAGAGGAGGAGAGACAAGGAACGAGAGAGGCAAGGAAGGAAATGAAATTATTTGGGGGGAAACAGTGATCCCTAGACGGTTTTGTTCTTCTCTTCTTCTCTCGACCGATTTTTTACACTTTGAGTAAAAATCGATTTTTACTCAACTTTCCTTGCCACGTATTCACTTTTAATTTCCTGTATCAGTTCGGTGAAAATATTCTGTACCTAAAGGTCTTTGATCAAAGTTTTCATCCAAATATGGGGGCTCCCCAATTTTCACTCTATCCAATGACATTCTGCTGAACCCCACACCCCAACCCCAGCCCCACTCGTCATCCCCACGAGCCCACCCTTCGTTATTCATCGAGTTTCAGCTTTTATTCTCTTTTTTGGAGAAAGAAAGTAACAAATTCGCAGTCGCCCATTTGATTTGTTAAATATTGACGCCTTTTATGCGTAAGTGTAGAGAATTGAAACCCTAGGAGCCAAACCCAACCCGAATATCATTTTACAGGTTCGGATTTCTTATCTCTTTGTTGTAAATTTTAGTTAAGTGTGTTTTTGTTTGGGTTCTTATTGTTGTTATCAATTTTGGTTTTTTAAGGTTAATCGCGTGATGGCTTTATGTGATTATGTAATTAGTGTTTTGTGAATTCCGTTTAGATTAATCCTGGAATTTGACCTTCTATGTAATATTTTTCTTGTTTTCTGATTATGTTTAGTATTAATAAGATCTATTTGTGGTACTTTTATTGGATTTAGGCTTTAGTGAACCCATTAACGTGCTTGCGTGCCTGTTATTTGATTCTATGTCTCCCATTCTTATGGTTTGATGTTTCTGTGCTTCAAATATGCTGCACTGGAATGTTATATAGGTGTCTGTTCTTTTAGCTGGCTGTGTACAGTTCTATTTTTCATTCTGCTATAGTTCTGTAATAGGAATGCTTACTAACTAATTATTTTCTTAAGCATTGAGCTGTGAGCTTCATGAAAATTAAGATATTCTTTTGGCATTTTAGTGTCAAAATGACAGTTAGCATTTAAGTGTCAAAATGAGAGTTACCTAACTTACTTGGTCTTAAATGTTGTTTACTTTGGGTTTTATCATATCATTCTAATTCAATCATGAATTAGGGCCTGTTTGGCCGTTTTCTGCATTTGATTCTTCTTGTAGAAGAGCAAGCTTCCTTATACAGGCTTCCTCCAAAAACTCTTACTTCTAGACAATTATCCAATTATGTTCAAAAACAGTTTCTTAGTCTTAGAAGCTGTTTTTGACTTTTCAAAAACCCTACCAAAGAAACCCTCGGTCGTGTATGTTATGCTTTAGTGGAAAAATATGAGATTTGTTAATTAATGACTGAATTTAAATGGAATCCTTATATGGGAATTCTATGCAATTACATGGATTTCTCTCCGGATGGTTAATGTGTTCTCATTTCTTACCTAAGTCTTCTTTCACTAGAGATTACTATTCATGTTGGCGGATATACACTTGAATCAGCGTCTTTTTGATTAAATCAAATATTGTGAGTGCATTATCGAGCATGTTTTCTTCCTTCTATTCCAAAATGAACAAAAACCGCCTTATTCTTTGGTAGAGAACTGGTCAAAAGATTTTGATTTGTTCTGAGCTAGTGGCTTTGACAATTTAAGCTAGTTAAATTATATGTTTAAATTGATTTATTAGCCCTGAGTTATCATGACTGTTGACATTACTAATATTACGAAGGTTTCACATCTTTATTTTCTGGCGCTAATGCACTTAAGTTTTTTGTAAATGTTTTTCTCCTTGTTATTTACTTTTCCCCTTCTAGGTACTGGAGCCATCAGAAATTCATTTTGCTAATGGAGTGACCCATTGCTTTATTCAATATAAGTATATAGTTTTTGAGGATCTTGACAAATTAATAGCTGAATTTAAGCATTCCATGGAGCTGAAAGTTTCTTCTCCAAAGCCGGGTCTTTCACCTTCTGATTGTCTCAGTGATCCTGAGGAGAAGGAAGTTAGTGAATGTGAAGATGAAGACGATGATCGTAACCATAAGCATCGTAAAAAGGAGACTCATTCTCAATCTCTAGGGCTGGATGAAGTTTTTACTAGAACATATAGGAAAAGAAATAAGCCCTTTGAAAATGGTTACACATGTGGTGGATGTGATTCTCAATCAGGGGGTACATTATCTGGGAGGTTTGAGAAGCGACGTCCAAACCCAACCTCTTGTTCTAGTGTAGATTTGAAGTATAGGAACAAGGGGAACCAATCAATGTCAGGTGAAGCTGTTCCTGTTAGGGGTAGGGGAAGGGAACTTAGTTCCTGGGGACTCTGTGATTCCAGGCTTGGCTCTTCTGATATTGCGTCACAACTGGTTCAGCCCGGTACTATGCATTCTAGTATCTTTTCAGGGAGGGGGCTTCCAAACATTTCTAATGCACATAGTACATCTTGGAATGCATTTGGACTGGTTCCAGGGATATCTAATGGTGCCCTCGATGCACTTCACCCCCTAGGTTTTCAGGGAACGCTCAGACCATCTCTCAGTCCTGGAATGAATATCGTCATCCCTCAACAAAGGTGTAGAGACTTCGAGGAGCGTGGTTTTTGTCTAAGAGGAGACATGTGCCCAATGGANTATAGTTGTTGAAGATGTTCAGGTATGTTGATCTGTCTGCTTGTAAATTCTTATTTCTGAATTAGCTTGAGTTATGGAATGTTTGTGGTGATCTGTGAAAATCCAGCATACCAAGTACTAAATAAATCAGATGATTCATTATTCAAAAGGGGAGTTAGCACTTGCATTCCATTTCTTCATTCACGTGGAAAGCACTAGCCCCCCCCCCCCCCCCCCCCACCCACCCACCCACAAATGCATGGTAGAGATTGA